CGGGGCCCCTGCATGTGGACACGGACCCTGGAGATCACCTCTGTCTCAGAACCCAGCTGCTGGGCTTTCCCTGGCCGCTCCAGCGCTGCCCCATCCTGGGGTCCAGCTACCTAAGGCCACTAACGGTGCAGTCCAGGGACAGCAGAGCGGCAGTGGGCTGCAGGACAGAGGGACTCCTCCTTGTGGCAGCCCGGTGGCACCGATAGGCCTGCTGGTAAGTGTCCCCGGGTTGAGACCCAGAGGGGTACAGCGCCTGCAGCCGGGTCTCCTCTTCACAAGGCCTGGTGTTCCCACAGCTCAGAGCGAGCGCCTGGGGGTGGGGTGCAGGGGAGAAAACAGAAAGTGCCAGTGATTCATTTTCTAAATGTCATGTTATTCCAGGCGCTTGCTTCGCCAACACCTTCCTCCACCCCCCGCTTGCCATCTGAGAGCAGGCTGCAGGGTGGGGGAGGGGTGGGACACTCCTGGGGTGGGGGATGCTGCTGCCTGGTCCATCAGGAAGCTGCTGGGTAAATAAGCGGCCAGGAGCTCTGTGCTGGGAGCCAAGAGACCTGGGGTCCAGCCCTGGTTGTGGAACTAGGTGCTGTGTGGCCCTGAGCAAGTCCCTTGCCCTCTCTGTGCCTCCTTTGCACACACCCCCTGTGCAGAGGGTCTGAGGGAGGGTTTGCAGCTCCCAGGGTCGGTCATCTGTCTGCACAGCCCTGAGACAGACAAATCCTTGGGCCGCGCCCCTAGAGATTCGGGCTCAGGACATTGGAGACGAGGCCTGGGGTCTGACGTCTAAAGCGCTTCTCTGCCCCACCTTCCCAGTGATTCTGGCACAGCCAGTCTAGAGGGGGGTGCGTGGAAAGGCCTGCGCTTGTGTTCAGATTCTGATTTATCTTCAGGACCCATTTGCCCCCTCCAAAAAGCCCTCCTTGGTTTACCCACGCCTCTGCCAGCATCAGCCTTCCTTGCTTCCAGCCCTGCCTTCTGAAAGAGGCCTGGGCCAGCGTGGGTCCCCCGGGGAGACTGGGTCTCCTGGGCATCACTCCCAGTCCCCACAGGATGCAGAATTCCCCCAGGTGGTTCAACCAAAAAGACACAGATCCAGGGGCTTTTTGCAAAGACTGTCTCGAAAAGGACAGTGGGGCCCCCAGAGGCCACAGGCAGTGGGCAGCTCTTACCAGCTGAAGCCTAAAGGGACAGGGAACTGGAGCCACGGAAGAGGGATCACCCCGTAAAAGTGGCAGCCACCAGGGAGGTAGCTCTTCCGGGAGACGCAGTGACGTCACACAGGCAGAAGTGGGAGGAAGTACTCAGCCTCCGTGCTCCCACATCCCCAAGCCCAGGAGGCAGCTGAAAGCATCAGTACCTCCTCCAGGTCCCCTCTGTGGGGTGGGTGGGGCACAGGCAGGGCAGAGACAGCAGCCTGCAGGGGGCTGGGGGGGATGGGCCAGCATCCGACTCCTCCATCTCCCTCTCTGCTGCGTCCTGTGGGACAGACCTGTCACTCAGAGGGCTGGGCTTGCAGGGTGACATCAGAAGCCCCTCCTCAGTAAACCGCAGGGATCCAGGAGCTGTCCTGAGCCACCTCTTCTGGTCTTTACCTATGATCTCCCTCCCCTGCTCTCTGAAGCAGAAGCTGAGGGAGAGAGAGAGAGAGAGAGAGAGAGAGAGAGCCTGCTCACCAGGAAAATAGTCTTGGAGAAGAGGAAAGCTTAGCAAATGGGAAATTAATTCCGGGCGGTGAAGGGCAGAGGCTGTTGTTTGTGATGTATAACTTACTCTCGGTGTCAAACTGTGTACTGTGTATATCAGTGGGATGGCAAGAAAACCGAGATCTATTACTTGGAGTTTAATCTGTTCTCCGTGCTGGAGAAGGGAGCAGGCGGGGAAAAAAGACTACAACTTTAATCACAGGCCCAACTCGAGATGTCAAGCTGCTCTGGGGGGTGTTAGTAAAATGATGTCGTATTACAGGCTTCCCAGACAGCTTCCCACACTGCGGCTTCATCTGCCGAGCTGTAAATTAGCACACCTACTTTACGCTCTTCAGGTAAAACCAGTAATTTAGCAGGAAAATACACACACATGCACACGGCGCGTGGGGGGGAGCTGGGGGGAGGGGACTGCCCTCCTTGAGCAATGAATAGCTAAAGCGAGCAAACCCAGGATGGAAATGACACCTCGGCTGCCCCTCCTGTCATTAGCGTGCGGTTCCCGGTGCAGCCCCGGCGCCAGCCCACCTTCCTCTCTACCTGCCTCGGTGCCTCCCCCACCCCCACTGCCGCTCACCGCCGTGAACCGTAAATTACATGCTGACACCTTTAATTTGTGCAAAGTATGCCTGGCTGCGCCTGGCACCAGCAGCCGGCTGCTATAATAAGGTCAATCTATATTCATTGTCGCAGCACTTGATGTGCCAGATAACACAGGGAGGCGGTGCCGCGGCGGTGGCTTCTCCGGGCTGGGGGGGCTTGAGGTGGGGGTGCCCGCTGCCGCCCGCCGCGGCCTGGCACCAGTTGGCTCATCACTTATGCATGGCATGAGCGATGTTATGATTTAGCTAATCACCATCAGTTATTCATCCTATCGCTGCCTGGAGACAGTGGCTGTGCATGCTTGCCTGCCAGAGCGGGAGAGAGAGCCCCTGCCCTCCGACGCTGCCACCAAGCAACCACCCAGCAGTCCAACTGTCCTTCCTGGGGGTGCCCTGAGAAGCATGCTGCCCGGGAGTGTGGACGCCTGGCTTGGAGGAGAAGCTGTCAGGAGATCCCCAGGGGTAGGGTCACTAATGCAAAGTCCGCACTCCTGGGTCACATGGTACAAGCCAGGTTCCGCCACTCACTGAGTTCTGGGTTCGAAACCCATCTCTGCCACACCCAAGCTGTGAGAGCTTAGTCGAGTCTCCTCACTTCTCCCTGGCTGCAGCTTTTCCTCTGCAAAAGGGGAAAACAAGCGCATTGCTGGCAGGGAGAAGGTTAAGGATGCAAAGAGTAAACGTGCATAGCTCCCAGCGCGCGTCTGTACAAGGCAGGCACTCAGGCTGCGATTACTGGATCCCAGGGAAGCCGTTGCCTGCATCGCTGGATAAATGTCTGCTTTCCATGGGGAATTTAGAGCCAGGCTGTTAAGGAGAGGGGCTGGGCTTGCGAGGGAGGCACTGGGAGCCTGACGGCATGAGGCGATGTTGCTACAGCCCCACACCTCAAGTGTCTGGGCTGGAGAAGGCCTAGGAAGGAGGTAATGCCGGGCAGAAGGGTGTCAGAAGAGGGACAAGCCATGTTCTTAGTCCCCAACGGGCTGGAGGCCAAAGACAGTACCAGAGTCCCAGCATGTAGGGGTGAAGGGCTGGGGGACTGTCTAGCCCTCCTCATGCCAGAAGGGAGGGCACAGAGGGAAGTGGAGCCTCGCAGGCAAGGGCCAGAGCTGGGGTCCTGGCCTGGGCTTCTGCCTGCATAGCTGTCCCCACTGCCCCTAGGACAGCCCCCAGGGGAGGGCAGGGCCCACCAGGCTCCCGGGAGCTCACCGGATGCCTCTCCACACTTCAGGGATACTTAGTTGTGTATAATGAGGGTTCCCAGTTTTGTTGGTAGCCCCGAGGGTGGCGGGAAGGACAGGCTGGAGGCCTCGGGCATTCCACAGAGCCTCGCTTTCCTCATCTGCACCAGAGAGTCCCTCACATCTGCTCCTCAGGACTAGTAGAAAGGCTGAAACCAACTCTAGAAAGCACAGGGCACCCAGTGGGTGGCTGAGGCAACAGCAGCCTTAGAGGCCACCCTAACCCAGCCACACAAAAGCCCACAAAAGAAGGAGCTCATTCTACACCTTAGAAACAGACCACCCCACACTGCAAAGCTGCCCGGATGTGAGGGCGCCGCCAGCGGCCACCCCAGCCACCCCCCCTGCCCTGCCAACATGCGGCTCCCGGGGCAGCAGCAGAGCCAGATTTCTACAAGGAAACCTCACAGTGTCACTCCCCTGTGGGAAACCCCAGCAACCCCAGTGCATCTAGAATAGAATGCAAACTCCTCCTACCACTCCCAGCACCCAGGGTCCTGCTCACCTCCTCCCCCCTTGTGACTTCCTGTCCCTTGCTCACAGGACAACCCCTCGATCACCAGCATGCCAGACAGGAGGAAGGGGAAGGACTGTTTAGCAAAAGAGACCCACCCACTGGCTCAGCCCTTCATCACAAAACCGAGGACCTTCTTGGTTGTAGGTCATTGGCCAGATGTGTCACACGGAACCCACAGCTTTAGGGAACCTGGGCAATAGAGTGGGTTTTTTTTTAAAAGATGGGGCTATGGCTGCCCCCAGGAGAAGTGGGTGACAGGGTAAGAGAGAGATGTGGATGGAAGGACCAGTCCAACAATGCCGCCCAATCAGACCACCCAATCAGAGCGGAAACTTTCAAGGTCAGGAGCAGACCTGACAATCCTGCGCTCAGGAAACAACCACAAAGAGCTCTTCCTGGTCAGACCCGGTGTCAGAGAGGTGGATGAGCTGGACACATTTCATGCCCTGGCAAGGCTCACTGTGAGGGGTCTCTGCCCAGCTGTGACATGCCAGGTGCTGCATGGATGCTTGCAGAAGCCCTGAGAGACAGAGGTTTCTCCCTGAGAGACAGGACAGCTCCACAGGCAGCAGCTGCCTTGTGAGCAGAGAGAGAGCAGCACAGCGAGGACCGTGAGACCTGAACACTGGGACATGCATCCTGCCCGGGGGCACATGACCCTTGGAGCAGGGCTGGAGCCTAGGCGGAGAGGCAAAGTGAGGGAGGCCGCTATGGCTTAGATCTACAATGCTCCCCCATTAAATCTAGAATGCTCAGAAGCGGGCTCCTGAAAGGGGATTGCATGATGGAGGTGCTATATCACCAGCGGGTTAATCCACTGATGAATCCATAACTAAAGGTGCTGTTAGGAGGAGGGGCCTGGTTGGAACAGGAGGATCACTGAGAAAATCCTGTATCTCTCTGCCCTGCTCCTTCCTTTGCTCCCTACTTCCTGACCGCCATGACGTGAGCAGCTTTTCTTCCGCCAGCCCCTTAAAGGCTGCCAGTTATGGACTGGGCATATAGTGTGATTCAATATCAGGCAGGAATATCTGCTCCTTGTCTTAATAGGTATCTACCCAATGAAGCTGAGGAAATGGAAAATTAAAGACCGTGTACAGCCACGTGCCTAAAAGAATTGAAGGCATGGGTTTGAACAGATATTTGTACACCCAGGCTCATAGCAGGGTTATTCACAACAGCCAAGGGGGTGGAAGCAAGCCAAGTGTTCCCTGATGGACGAATACATAAATACAATATGGTCTGTACCTGCAATGGAATATTATTCTGACATTAAGGGCATTATGCTAAGTGACACAAGCCAGTCACAAAAGTTCAAGTACCAGAGGGGGCCAACCAAAGAGGCACCTAAAGTAGTCAGTTTCAAAGAGACAGACCATAGGCTGGTGACTGCCTGAGGCGGAGGGGGACAGGAAAATGGGGAACTGTTTAATGATTACTGAGCTTCAGTTTTACAAGAGGAAGAGAGTCCTGGAGCTGGATGGCGGTGACAGCTGCACGACAAGATAAATGGATTTAATGCCACTGAGCTGTGCACTTAGAAATTGTGAAAATGGATAAGTTCAGTGTTATAAATAAATTTTATATATATATGGAAAGTTTCATATATAAAATAAAAAATAGACATGTACAAAGGGAAGGAAGAATATATATCATAAAAGAGACTACATGATAGGCCGATATAGTGACTAGGATTGAACATTTCATCACGCTTGCACTTTCTGGTCTTTCAAGGTATGAAGAGAAATTTTTATGTCCTGATGTTTAATAAAGGGCGAAATACTAGCATTCGAGAGACCTCATTGGCTCCCACACCCCAGGCCAGGACTGAATCCTACATGGTATTTGCCTCCGTGGCTGTCCTACAAGAGGCACTGGATAGCACGAAGGGCACCACAAGACACCAAAGGCTGTGACACAAACCCACTCCCCGGTCCCGCCTCGTGAGGAAAGGCAGGAGGAGGACCCGGTTCACAGGATGAACCCCTGCCTCGGGCAGTGCAGCCATCAGCCTTGGGTGTGAAGACTGCTGAAAGGAACCTGGAATTCCCGAAACACAGCATTCACCGAATGGTGCCTGCGGGTGTCCAGGAGGCAGCCTGAGATCTGCTCCTAAGATCCGGATTTAGGTGGAGCACGGTGTCATCTGCACAGCTGGTGACTGGGGATTTAAGCCCAGAATCAGCCTGGGCGGCTGAATCATAAGCTCCCTGCCCCAGGCCCACACTGCCCTGGAGGGGCAGGCTGGGCTGTGAAGGTTTTCCTGCCCCTTGGCTCCCTGTCTAAGGGACTATCTGCTGGCCTGGGGCTCTTCTCTGTTCAGGAGAAGGAGCGCAGCTCCAGACATCAGAAGACCTGGGCAAGAGTCTCAGGGTCACCGCGAGATTCCAGCCTTGTGATCTCGGACAGCTTCCCTAGTCTGAACTGGAATGCGGACTCTTTGTCTGTAAATGGTTAACAGGTCTACAGCCCCCGAGGGCCGCTTCCTGCCTCTCGCAGTGTGGCTGGGAGCAGAGGGCGCAGCCTGGGGTTCTGCCCCATCCACTCACCACTTCACAGGCACCGCAGTCCCACTGGGACAGGAGCTTCGTGTGCAAAACTCCTTGCCAAGCCTCCAGCCTCTTCTCACTCACTCATCGCCTCAGGCCCAGCTGCCCGGATCTTCAGAACTGCCCGGAGTCTGGTGAGAACTCACAACAACGGAACGCAGCGCGTGGAAAGGTAGAGAGAGAGACAGAGACAGAGAGAGACAGAGAGAGGCTTGGAACTGGGATATGGAGGATTTAAAGGTGACCCTGCTACTAGGCCTGAAGAAGGGACAGGGAAAGGCCAGGCGTCAGGGTTTCCCCTCACACCCGCTCGCCCCAGCCTGCTGGGCCCGGCGCTGCCGAGGCGGGTGTGCAGCAGCGGCCTCCTGCTAGCGTGGGGCGACTTGCTGGCCGGACCCTTGTAGCTGCAACATCTCTTCAAACCGCAGCCCGGATGGCCGTGCTCAGCAATCATGTGTTTAAAAAGCAATAAGACTAAATGCTTTTCCGCTTCCCCTTGGAGAGACCATGTATGATAAATGATAGGCAATTTCATGGTTGGAGTTTCAATTTCCGAAAATATTAGTGCAAATCCCCCAGCTCCACTTCCGAGATAAATTCTTTTTGGCAGGCTCCTCCCTTGTCTCCTAATTCCCTGATTCCGAATAGATTTGGAGGTCTGGCACCGGTCTCCTCAGCTCCGCCCCGCCTTCCACCTGTCTGGTCTGCTTTGCAAAGGGTGCTACCTACATCCCACCCTTTCAGATTCTTTTTACATTGGCTTCAAGCCAGCTGCTATGTACCCAGCTTTACACCAAATATTATTATGGCAGGTGTAAGTGAGCTACAATCAGTCAACAAGCATTTACACCATGCATCTGGTCACCTCAGTCTCAAAATAACCAAAGTTCTACAGCGCCCCTCTAACACTGCATGCTTGTTTCACATTACCCTCCCCATCACAGTCAGGAACCTGCAACTCAGAGCTGACCTGGTAAGATCTGGGTGGACTGGAGTGAACAGTGTAAGATGGGAGAGGGGGAACTGCACCTGAGCACACATATTGTGAGGTGCTGGACTGAATGCTTATCCGGGTCTCTGCCCAGTACTCTAAACTATTTCATTTTCGCACAATTCAAGTTAGTTATCCCATTTTACAGATGTGGAGACTGAGGCTCAGGAAGGCTAAGCAGCTTGTGCCAGGATTCTCTGTCCGCTGAGCCATGCAGTCTCTCCTGTTGTTCTGACGTCAGGCAGGCGGGGTGGCGGCTTGACAGTCATTTCCAAACACTGAGGGCCCCTGCTCTGGAGGCACCAAAGCTCTGCAGCAGCAGCAGACGGCTGGTGACCCAGCTGCTGCAATCTCTCGTCTCCCGTTACTCTGCACCCTCTGGTCTCCAGGCTGAGGCTGTGGGGAGCCCCAACACCCAGGCCCATGGTTGCCTCTCCCATGCGCTGCCCCCCCTTCTAACCAAACCCTGTCTCAGGGCAGCCAAGGCCCCAGCGAAATCACCCCTCTCCACCCTCCCTTCCCCCTCCAGAGGGCCTCTTGCCCGCCCAGGGTGACATTTCCTGCTCTTGTACTCTTACTGTTCCAGCCAAAGGCTGGCAGAAGTCTAAGATCTGCGGTCCCGTCTATTTGCCCTCCAGCAAGGTCCCCCAGGGCTACATCGAAGTGAGGCAGAGAGGGTGGCATGGGCATGGATGCGGTCACCTGCGTGGGTGGGAGGCCTCGCTCTGTGATAGCCCACTCTGGAGAGAACGGACTTTCCTGAGAGACCAGAGTCCGTCCCTTCCCACGGCAAGGCTGGGACCTGATTCCTGGCTCCTACACCGGCCCCACCTGGCTGAGGACCAGGCTTCCAGCAGGGGGAGCCCTGGGGACAAACACACTCAACCACAGAGCAGGGGACCCACAGCCCTGAGGGAGGCGCTGGGGGTGTGGGGAAACCAGGCAGTGGGAGAGGACTCCCTCAGAACAGAGGAAAGCGAGTGAATCTGGACAGAATGTAAGGGAAAAGAAGCAAGGGCATACAGGTACAGATAGAGACAGGGAGGGAGAAAAGCCGGAACAGAATAGAGCTTAAAAGAAAATAACAAAAGAGCATGGAACAGCCTAAACAGGGTGGAACAGAAGAGAACAGGATGGAGCAGCAGAGGCCAGGTCAGAAGAGACCGGGACAGAGTGGGCTAGGACTAAGACCGGGACAAATGAGTCTGGCCGGAGCAGAGCACAGCAGAACCCCAGGGCCGGAGCAGGTGGCGCTGCGCAGGAGGAAATAAAACCCACCCCACTCATCAACAAATATTTCCCAAGCACCACTCTACGCAAGGTAAGGAAAAGTGAGATGCGGCCCCTGCCCTCGTGGAGCTTACTGTCTTGTGTAACAGACGTACAAGACAAACATTAATGCCATACGTGTACAATTACAAACTATGAGCTCCAGAAAGCCGGAGACACAGACCCAGGAACAGTGTGGGGGGCAGAGGGAACAGCGTGTACAGAAGCCCTGCGGCAGGAAAGTGCTTGTCCCATTCAAAGGACTGACAGTCTCAGCAGGAAGACCCTGGAGAACAGACCGCAGAGCGGCAAGTGATGAAGGGAGAGGCGGGTGGATGTCAAGTGTCCCTGGCCCGGGGAGCTTGCATTCTTCGCAGGTGTGGGGAGGAGTACTAAGGAAAGCGGCACTGAGCCTCACTTCCTTCTCCGCTGGTGGAACAGAATGAATGGGCCGGGGGGGTCATTCGGGTGCCTCTCGGGTCAGCTCCGTGGAAGTGACAGTGGCAGCTTGGAGCAGAGCAGCAGTGGCACCAGAGGAGAGCAAGGACAACATCACAGAAGGGGTTTGCCGGTGTATCTGGACACGGGGCTGGCGGAGGGAGAGCTGGAGCGGTGCGGGGCGGTGCTTGCTGCCGTGGGATGGAAGGGGGAGATGGCTTGGGGGGACCAAGAGTCTACTTCTGAAGATGCTGAGTTCAGATGCTTGGATGGTGTCACGAAGAGGCCACGCGGGTTCAGGTACATGAGGAAGGGAGTCGGCAGCACGCAGACGCCATGCCGTGCTGTGCGTGCGGTCACAGTGCAGCCGTGCGATGCCTGGGACCCCGCGGGGTGCTCACGGTCAGGGCTACCGCTTGGGGTGCTAGGCTGGGGCTTAGGAGTCTAGGATGCGGATCACCCCAGGGTGTCTGGGCAACGTCTGGAGCTCGGGTCTAAGGAGAGACCAGCAGAGCCAGAGGCCCCGTCGCTGGGACAGCTACGAGTCTGCAGATGGGTGGGGAGAAAGCCCACGTGAGCACCCGGAGGCGGAGGAGCCAGAGAAAGCAGCAGGCCCTCAGGAGAGTCTCGGAGGGGGGAAAGAAGGGGCGGCAGGATGCATGCGTGTGGGGTACAACAGCACACAACCGGCAGGGCAAGGCGGGGCGGGCGTGGGCGAGCAAGGCAGGACCCAGAGGGACCGAGGAGGTCACTGCAACAAAGCACGGAGCAGCAAAGCATTCCAGGGTGATGACAAGCAAGGATGTCGTCCCAATTCAATGGGAAATCGGGGGACAGACCCCAGACACATTTCACAGGTGACTGGCCTCTAGCAGAGGACAGGGGCGTGCTGGTGGGTCTCGCGTGTCTCTGCACACACCAGCTTGGCCCCCGGCTCCTGCCTGCCCACACCCGGGTCAGCAGCCTCAGAGGTCCCTCTCCTGAGGGAGCCCGCACTGTGGAAGTCGTCCCGATGCCCAGCCTCACCCCAGCGCAGTTAGCAGGCCACCGCTTCTCACTCGGCCCGTGCCACCAGCCGGCCTCCAACACTGCGGGGCTCAGGGTGCAAGTTTTCACACATAGCTTGGAAAGGCAGCCGCTGCCTGGCAAGAGGGCACGGACCCTCCAGCCAGCCCCCCAGGTTGCGGCTGGGATCACCAAGCACTCTGGTTCTCACTTGGTGGATAGGAGTGGAACAGGCGCATTTAAAAGACACATTCAACTTCAGATAGGACTTTCATGTTCATCAAACAGAAACTGAAAACCTCCTGCTTTCACAGCGCAGACCTCAGCCAGACTGCCCGGGCAGGATCTTCTCTGAGAGGCTCTGCAAACCGACAGGGATTTTTGAGCTGGGGACAAACGCCCGGGGATCTTTCAGAATCAGAGGTGGTCAGACATTGATGTGTTTCAAGAGGGTAAAGAATATGCAGAGGTTTTGCCGAGGTCTGGATTTGGTTCTGTTAAAAGTAACCAAGCCACTTCCTACCCAGAGCACCTCAAAAGACCCCAGAAACCCCTAGCATCCATCGGGAGCCAGATTCCTAGCAAGGAGCAGCCCTGGGAGCTCCCCAACCTCTCCAGGAAGCAGCAGAGGGCTGCTCCTCCCGAGAGCAAAAGACAACACAGAGGCTGTTTGTTTTCCGAGCAAGAAGAAGCGGGAGCAGCTGCTCCAAGAAGCCACTTGAAAGATAATCAGGCGGCGGTGTTGGCAAAACAGCTGTGTGGCAGGCGGAGAGGGGGTGGCTGAGAGGGAGGAGGGAAGCAGAGCTGGGAGCAGCGCCACCCGCCTGCCAGGCAGACTGGCAGCCCCATGCCACTGCCTGGGAACCGCCCCCACCCGGCACATGCCCTCCTCTGCAGGGTGCAGAGGTAGCCTCCACCTACTGAGGCTTCGCCCATGGGGACCTGTCCCTGCAGAGAGGCGCTGGGCAAAGTCTACATGTCCTGGAGGTGCAACTCAAATCCCAGAATGGAATAGTACCAGGTGCGGCGGCACACACCTGTAATCCCAGCACTGAGGAGGCTGAGGCAGGAGGATCGCTGCCAATTTGAGGCCAACCTGGGCTCCATAGTGAGTTCAAGGCCAGCCTGAACTATACTGTCTCAAAAGAAAAAGAAAAAAACTTCGCCAGGATGAGACAGACCAGGCTGAATTTCACTTGAGCTCTGGGGTACCTGAGGATAGACAGTAATGTTAAAGACACTCCCCTCTCCATCTCATACCCCAGCCCTGACCTATCTTCCTCATTCCACTCACACGGCCTTCCAGTGTGCTTGTCACACCACGGCAATGCCAGGCTGGGGCCTCCAGATCCCATGGTCTAGCATGCAATGAGCAGAACTGTGGGGTCCCTGCTGTTGATGGGAAAATGATTATTTACCAAACTTGGGCCAAGTTTCTCTCCTTCCCTGGCTTTAAGCCCCATAGTCTGGTCGTGCTGCCCCCTCCAACAGTTCTCAGGGACAGCTGGCCTGGGGTAAAATACCCTCAGGTCTACAAGAAGCCACTCTAGGGCCTTGGCATCCCCAACCCATTCTTTCTAGCTTGGTTTATGCTTCCCTGTGAAAGAAATTTCTTCCTGACCCTAGAGATATTTGCAGACTTCCTGTCCACAGCATTTACTTGAAGGCCCAAGTTCCTTCACGCTTCTTGGAGGAATCCTTTCAGATAACATCTGTCCCACTGCAGTCTACATTTGCTTTTCTTGACAGGACTTCAAGGTCCTTTGACGTCACTTCCTGTAGGACAGCTTGTCCCCAAGCTGCAACTCTTCTACAGGGCCACTGTTTGGGATTCAGAGCTGAGAGGAAACCTCAGAAGTCCCAGATCTTTTCTGCTACCCATCTACGGGAGGAGCAATGGCCCCGCCAGCAGATGTGGGGTGTGAGCTCTGCAGGCCTGGACAATTCCCAGACCAGCCATGGACGGGGTCCCTTGCCCCCAGCACCCGCTCGTTCCTGGCAGCCCTGTGACACCGTGGAGCAGGGCAACGGTCGGGAGTCCTGGCTGCAGGAGGTCCCTGTGAGCATGAAGTCCTCAACGGGCAAGAAAAGCAGCTCCAGCAGGGTGTCAGAAGTCCACGCCCAAGGCAAGGAAGCAGTTCACAGCCGGGAAAACTCTTGCGGTCACAGCTTGTAAAAAAGGCAGCTTCAGAGCAAGCCCAAACGAACAAAACCAGGCAGTCTCACTGAACGCTATCCCCCCCACCAGGAAGCCAGCCTGGGCTGCTGGAAGACAGCCGAAGTCTGTGCCCACGGGGACTCACTGGGAGGGAGCCAGACAGCTCCAAGTGCCCCAAATCTACCCACATTCCCAGCCATCAAGCCTTCCCTTCTTTTGTTTTGTTTTGTTTTTTTGTTTGTTTGTTTGTTTCCGGTACCGGAGATCGAACTCATGACCTTGCACTTGCTGGGCAGGCGCTGTGCCACTGAGCTAAATCCCTAGCCCCCAAGCCTTCCCTTCTCCATAGATGCCGGCCCTGGGTGTGCCCCCGACTGTGGGGGATGGGGTCACTTAGCACTTTGGTTTTCAGAGGCATTCTCTGCGGAATCCCAGGACCTCGGGGAGGTACGCAAAGAGTTCTTAGGGACAGAGGGCGTGGCTGTGGTCCCCACCCTCACCAAACTGGAGCAGTTTTTTCCTGCTTAAAGTTTTGGAGCTTCCACTTATAATATTTTTTGAAGGGCTCAGTCACTTAAAAGTAAAGGCTATAGCTACTGATTCCAGGCAGATAGGGCAGTTACAATTTCCCTGTTGCTCCTGCTAAGTACAACCCAAATTCCTGTGCATTGTATGCAGAATAAATGTAGCCAGGCTCTGCAACCTGGAGAGAAGGCGGACACACCAGGGCCGGAAGGACACCAGGAATTGCAGGGCGATGAGTTCCTTGGGTTCTGTCTGTACTCTGTGCTTCTCAAAATTGGAGCCGAGGAAGCTGCAACAGGCACAGGTTAAAAAAAAAAAAAAAAGTCCCACATAAAGCATGCTGTCTTTAGCCAAAGGGAAATTTTAAAAGGAAATCTAGCAAGACAGGAGCATTGAACCTGCTTTCCTCGCGCCGGACCCCACAGGAAAACACTGCAGTCCCCACTCCCACCCACCCCAGCAGAGGTGACAAGGGAGCCTGCATTTCCCTCCTGCTGAGCAGCACTGGGGTCCCCACTTCCCCTTCCCACAGAAGTGGGGTTCAGAGGAGCCTGGAGGAGAGTCAGGATCTTTACCATGGCTTCCTGGTATGGGATAACCACACCACGGTGTTAGTGAGGACCTCTGGGATTCCTGTCCCACCTAGCAGTAGCGACGAGCACCTTCTCGCGTACCAAGGGGATGAGTGGAGACCTGGGCCTGTTGCTGCATCTCACGCCAACAAGGCAGCATCCTCCCAGCCCACCCACAGCCGATGGCATCAAGATGGGCCAACTGGACCCAAAGGCTTCAAAGAACATCGCCATAAAGAAAGATAAACTGGAGTCATTTGTAGGAAGATGAATGCTCCTTGAGACTATAATGTGAAGGGAAATAAATCAGACACACAAGCTTCAATATCGCATCATTTCTCCTATGTGAGAAACCCAAATTATAAATAGAGAGGAAAATAAAAGAGAGATAACGGGACGGAGGGAGACAGGTCTTTCTCAAAGGGGAAGGAGACCAAGGGAGGAGAGAGGGGGCAGAGGGGAGGGAAAGGGGGTGAATAAGGAATTAAGATGCATTGTGTGCATGTGCCGACTCCACACAAGGGATGTTATCCTCATGGACTCAGACACGTACTAAAAAAAATAAGGTCAGAGTCTCCTAATATGATGTAACAATAGCTAGGTCTTAATTGTTTCTTTTATTTTTTTTTTTGAGAGAGGGTCTCGCTATGCAATTCAGCTGAACTTGGGCTCACTTTGTAACTCAAGCTGGTCTCAAACTCTCAATGATCCTCCTGCTTCAGCCTCCCGAGTGCTGGGATTACGGGCATGCACCACCACACCCGGCTTTTAGGTCTTAATTTAAACAATAATAATAACCCATTGTGCTAAGAAGAAAGATCTCAAGCTGAATTTTTAAAAAGATAAATAATGCCAACATTGAAATACAAGGACATGAAAATGACTCAACAAAGATTTTAAAGCGATTGTGATAAAAATGCGTGGATAGCCATTGTGAACACGCTTGAAACAGAAAAGAAGATATAAACAGGAAAGTAATGGAAATGTTAGAACTGAAAACTCCAAGCATCAAAATGAAAACCTCAATGTGTGGACTCATTGGCAGAATGTAAGGAATAGAAGAAAGAATTAGAGAACCGGAAGGCAGAGTAATAGCAATTTCCCAATCTGAAAAGCAAAGAGAAAATAGACTTTACAAAATGAACACAGCTTGAGAGATCTGTGGAACTATAACAAAAGATCTACTTTTACCCTTTGGGATCCCTGGCGGAGAATACAAAGGAGGGAGGATAGAAACAATATCAAAGCAATAATGGCGGAAATTTTGCCAAATCTAAATGAACCCCAAATGGGTAAGACTAACGAGGCTCAGGCCAAGACTTTTACAAAGTGAGGTAAAGAAAAAACTCTTGAAATCATCTAGAGACAATTTCACCTTACCTACAGGGGGCATACTACTCAAATCAAGACCACATATTAATGGTGGAGGGGTGGACATACAGATCCATAGAACATAGCAGAAGACCTAGGTACAGACCCACAAAAACATGCCAACTGGTTTAAACAAAGCTACAAAGACAATGGAATGGGATAAAGATGGTCTTCTACAAATGGGGCTATAGCAATTGGATAAACCATCCAAAGAGTCCTCACCCTCCTCCACGAATAAGCTTTAGCCTAAGTCTCAGTATTTACATAAAAAAGAAAAAAATTCAAAATAGAAAATGAAAAACTAAAACTGTCAGAAAAAAAAAATAGGAGAAAATCTTTGGGCTGTAAGTCTAGGCAAAGAGCTCTTATACTTCATACTTAAACATAATCTATAAAAGGAAAACTGATAAATTGAACTTCACCAAAATTAAAAAAATTTTGTTCTGTAAAACACACTTAAATGAATTTAAAAGATAAGGTGTATAGTGGCAGAATATACTTGCAAATCACACATTCAAAACAGGACGCATAGTGTCTAGAATATTTAAAGAACTTCCAATGATGAAAAAAACTCAATTTAAAAACCGGCAAAAGGCTGAGTGTGGTGGCACACGCCTGTAATCCCAGCACTCGGGAGGCTGAAGCAGGAGGATCGTTGTGACTTTGAGACCAGCCAGGGCTACAAAGTGAGCTCAAGGGCAGCCTGAACTGCAGAGGGAGACCCTGTCTCAACAAAAAGAAAAAAAAAAATGAGCAAAAGACATGAAGAGATATATCACCAAATAAGATATACATATGCCAACTGAGCACATGAAAAGATATTAACCATCTGAGAAATGCAAATTAAAACTGCAGTGAGCGATCCCTGTGCACCTATCAGAAGGACTAAAATAAAAAGAATATCGATGACACCAAATGCTGATGAGCACAGAGAGAAACTGCATCAACTCACAGACTGCCGATGAGAATCCAAAGCACCACAGCCACTGTGGAAAGCAACCCAGTAGGTCCCTTGAAGATGAAGCCATATGATTCAGCAATTGTTCTCCTAGGCACTGATCCCAGAAACATGCGAACTTATTTTCACACAGAAACCTGTGCAGGAATGTTTATAGCGCTTTATTTCTATTAACCAAAAGCTAGGAGCACCCCAGATGTCCTCAGTGATGAATGGTTAAACAAACTACGGTGTATTGGCACCGTGGAATACTACTCAGTAGGAAGAAGGGAAAAACAGGGTGTACATAACAACGCGGGTGCAATGCCAGAGAATTATGCTGAGTGAAAAAGGCAATCACCACGGCAGCATACTGTCTGATTCTATTTATACGACGTTCTTGAAATGACAAAATTACCTAAGCGGGGAGCAGAGTAGTGGTTGCCGGGGGTCAGCGATAGGGAGAGAGGGTGAGGGACACGGTGGTGTTCGTAAAAGGACTAGACCAGTGGGCCTGATTCCTGGACAAGTTCTGTATCAGCGTCAATGCCAATATTCTGATTCTAAAGCTATACCAGTGTTGCAAGATGATACCGGGCAGGTAAACTAAGCAAAGTGTACACAGGAGTTATTGACCGTTCACCTAGCATCTGTCAGGTTACCCATTATCGGGCCAACGTCCAAAGTGACTTTACCAACTCGTTTAAAGTGCGAATGATTTGAAGTTTAGAGATAGGCTACCTCATTACATAGTGCTGTTTCTCTGCAGCTGCAAGTCTATGGAAACTGTGGGTTCATAGGGTTGGTGGAAAAACACAGACTTAGAGCTATCTTGAAGATTTTTAGGAATTCAGGCATGAGGATTCTGGAAGGAAAACAGGCCCACGGTGAAAGGGCACTGTAAGCGTGGGCAACTTGGATTCTGTTTTGTGGGTCCAGCTTTCTCAAAATGACGATTTCTTTCCACCTGTCTTTATTTCTTCCACCCTACCTCAAATGTGCAGGTCACAGATCTTCTGCCCTCCTCCTCCCTCACCCTTCTCTTCCCCCTTTCTTTCTTTCCTGCTGTCTTTATTCTCCTCCTTGCCTATTTTTTCTCCTTTGTTATTCCCACGATTTTCTCTGTCTCCTCTCTTCTTTGCTCATCTTTCTTTTCTCTTTTCCTTTCCATTTCTCTGCCTTTCCCTTCTCATCCCCCCTCCACATTCCCATCCCTCTGCTTCTGACTTCTTCCTGCCTGTTCTCTGGAGGCAGGAAGTTCACACACATGAATTTTTCAAAGGCTGGGAACTCAGGGAGACTTACAGAAAGGGTTTTAGCAGACTGGCGTCAGCCGGCCACCCCAGCCACCAGCAGTGGGTGATAGATGACGGAAATACATTACAGGGCTGTCCTGCTGACAGCAGCTAAGGTAATATGTCAAGGTACCAGCCCTGGGATGATGAACATCCCTCATAGATCAGAACACCATCACGCTGATTACACTCCAGTGCTGAGTGTCAGGGTACCGCGGGGGCGTGATGGACGGCGGGAGCTGTCACCGTGCTGATGGCCCGTTCCCAGCACAGCCTTCATTCCAGGCTGTGATTTAGGGCCAGAGCCCAGACCCCTCCCAAGCTGCACACACAGCAAAAGTGGATGCTTTCCTCTCTACTTGGGCAGAAGTTTAGGGAAAGAAACCCTTGGAGAACACTGTTTCAAGGTCAAGGGCTTGGGAATCAGATAGACCTGGCTTCACATTCCGGTTCTTCATCTTAAAAGCTGTGTGACCTTAGGGGAGATTTTCCTCCTGCCTGAAG